TTTATCTCTGGCAGCAGCCAGGGCTTCCTGAAAGGCCTCTTTGCTTTTGATCTGCTGCACCATGCTGGCTGCCGGGGACCTGGTGAGCTACCGAAGCAAATGATAGAAGCAGATGGAAGGCGCGGGATGGAGCTCCTAAAGTGCTCATTTTCAAGAAAGAAGTTGTTTGAAGTGAGAGCATGAGACTCACGGCAGCGGCCAATGTCCTGGCCAACTAGTCTGTTCTTTGGAAGGCTGGGCACAAGGTTTGGAGGACAGCATGTGGATGGTGGCACACGGAGAAAATGGTGTGAAGATCTTTACCTCCCCACTCAGTGACCACAGTCACTGCACTTTGGGTCAGCGAGAATCCAAGCAGACAAGATGCCCTGGCTGGTGCATGGCAGGACCATCACACTGAACACAGTGGCAGAGCCAGAAGCCATGAAAAGGCCCAACACTGTAGATTCCCATTATTAAGACTGACTTGACTACTGCTGTCTCTGAATTTCCAACTCCCCAGTGCCAGAGACCAACACTGAGCTCTCGATATCACACTACTTGGACCAGAAGACAAATTGGACATTTGATAGCAACTTGACCACACTGGGCTTCTTGAACTAGAAGGGCAGTGATTTGTTCTCAGGTGAATAGATTTATTTATTTATTTTCTTGAGACAAGCCCTCAGTATGTAGCCCAGGTTGGCCTCAAACTCATGGTGGCTCCCCCATACTGCCAAGTTAGGATCTTCTCGGTTGCTCTGGCCAACGCTGAGAAGGCTCTGCTGGTAAACCGAGTGTCAGTCCCAAGCTGTTTTATATGGCTTCCCAATCTTGAAAGTGATTTGCTTGCTTATATAGTCTAACACACACAATAACCAGGGTCTTCCCACTAAAGTTTTATTAGTTGAACAAGCAGACTACTAGAATATATGAAGCAAGACAGAATGACAGCTTGGCCTGAAATGGTGGTGGTGGAGCAGGGAAGAGGAGCAGCTCACAAGCAGAAATCATTTCTTCTGAATCCCAGAAACTGAAGCAAACTAGTTAAAAAGGGATTCCTTAGGCCTGATCCTGTTGTGGTGGTGTACTTAGTCTCTGTTACGCAGTAACTTAGTCTCAGTTACTCAGGAGACTTAGGCAGGATTACTTGAGCCCAAGAGAGTAAGGCCAGGCTAGACAACACAGGAAGACCCTATGTTAAAGAAATAAAAGAAGGGGCCACTCATTTGAAGGACAAAGGGCATGGAAACTAAGGGCCATGGCAGGCAACTGTGTTTAAGGCAAGTTTTTTGGGTTTTTTTGTGTGTGTGGTCCAGGGGTTGAACTCAGGACCCTGCGCTTGCCAGGCAAGTGCTTATTCTACTGAGCTATCTCCCTAGGCCCTAAGGCAAGTTCTGGAACTGGGGCCTAGAAAGTCTCCCTGGGCTGCTCTCAGGCATCTGCAGTGTTCCCAGGTAGAAGGTATTAGAAAATTCCTGAGCTTTACAGCCATTCATTCAGGTCATTTGTGTCCATACAGCTCAAGTGAAAAGGTAATCCCTTTACTGTTTTTTGTTTGTTTGTTTTTTGGTTTCCACAATCAAACTCAGGACACCGTACTTGCCAGGCAAGCATTTGTACCGCTGAGCTATATTCCTGGTCCCCTTTTCCTGCTCATTACTAAATGTCATAATCACCACTATATAACAAGAGGCAGAGCAACAAGAGAAAAACATAACAAGTGGATTTGATCACAGTTTTACAAGACACAGGACTTTCAGATTGAAGACTTGGACAGCTACAATAATACAGATGAACTCTCCATTTTTATGCTTAGGTTCAATAAAAACAAGGACAACCAACTAGCAAGGGGGCTAATGAAGACAGGCTAGGAGTGGGAGCCTAGCAAGGCCTTCCCAGATTCCTCTTCCTGAATTGCAGCATTTCTTCTAGGCATGGGGCAGAATCCCTCTGCAATCAGTCTTTTTTAAATATTTAATTTCATTTAATCTTCTGGTACTAGGAATTGAAGTCAGGACCTTGTGCTTGCCAGGCAGGCAGTTATGCCACTAAGTCTTCATTTCTTCATGACCAACTCTTCTACACAAACACAAGGGAAGTTGGAGTGATGTAGGTGGGGGATTCTGGTTTCCATAGCCCAAGCTGGTCTTGAACTCAAAAGGTTGCTCCTACCTTAGTCTCCTAAGTGCTGGATTACAGGCCTGTGTCACCACACCCAGCTAGGAATCCTAGTTTCTATGGCTTATTTGCAGAAAGAAGGAGAGAAGACAGACTAAGAAAAGCTAAAAAAACTGCTTTTACACACTGGCCCGCTCTCTCCCCATGGCCACCAAGACTGGGTGTGGCAGCACAGGTCTGTAATCTCAGCACTGGGGAGGCTGAAAACAGGAGGATCACTATGAATCCCATCTGCATAGTGAGACCCTGTGCCAAATACATAAAACACAACAAAACAAAACAAAACCTTGCTTTTAGTCATGGTGATACAGGTTTATAATCCCAGCACTTAGAAGGCTGAGGCATATTCCAGACCAGCGTGGGGAGTAAATTCAAGGCCAGCCTGAACAACATAGCAAGTCCCTGCCTCAAGAAGTAAAAAATAGGGGGCCTGGCCCTAGCTCAGGCCTTTAAGTGGCTGCTTCCACAAAGCTGTCAGCCTCAGGTTGCTGGAGTTCGAACCTCACACCTCTCCAGCTGGCCAAAAGTGCACTGAAGGCATTCGAGGAACAAAAAAAAGAAAAGGTCTGGGAATGTAG